TATGATAGTTTTATGAGAAATGGAATACCTGCCTTTTCTTTGTAAAATGAGATGAGTAGGAAATATCAGGTGAATGGTGCATCTCCATTATGAAGTGGAGAAGAGGGTACTAGGTCTTTTTCTGATGTTAATGCCTCTTTTTTACTTAGAATATTTCTAAATTTTCCTGTTGAATTAGTGGGTGAGTGTTGTGTCTTTTTTATGATGTCAAAATCCTTTTACTTCTGTGTTACCACTTTACAGTAATTTATGTTTATAGTTCTTTTTTGATCTATTTTTAGTTATTTAGCTATTTATTTTCAATATTCTTTATGTTTTTCAGAATCAAAATCGTTGGTTCAAGAGTTCCAGATGTCTAATAAGGTAATATTTTAAGATTTTTCTTTTGGTAAGAAATAAGTTAATGGAAGATCATGAATTATAGCTAGTTCTGTTTAAGTAAGTTTTAAAAGGTAATAAATGAAGGTGATTTGAAAAATTGAAAAATATATGTATCTTCATATTTTTATCTCTTTTTCAGTGACAACCAGTGGAAAGTTTCTTTAAATTTTCCAGGACACTTAGGAATATATAAAATACTCATATTTTAAAAAAGTTTCAGCAGGCAGGATAATAGTTCTGTATCTTGCTTTTTCTTCTGAAAGATCATCTTGGAAACAGTTCTGTATTAGTACATAGCAGGTTTATCTCATTCTTTTTATAGGTTTCATGCTGATGATTAGATATATTTAAATAATGTTTTATATAAATTGTAAAGTGTTTTAAAACATGAGATATGGGCTGAGCAGATTTCAGCATAAGAATGAAAGCTACTTCTGGAGGATCCCAGCACTTTGTGACTTCTGATCATATATTCATCCCAAGTAGTTGTAGATGAATTTGACATTTATGTCTAAAAATTAAAAATGGAAGTGTACTAAATGGAAGTATAAAAATGGAAGGGACTAAAGTAAATTTAGAGCTTTAAACTTGTTATTTTTTTTCTGTCTTCTTCCAGCCTGGTCTTCTTATTTTAATTCAGTTTATTTTTCTGAAGAGCTGACTATTGTATAAAATGTGATTGGATATAAATAATTCAAATTCTAATATCTAGTATTTAAAGAGTAATCCAAATAGCTGGGTGTGGTGGCACACACCTATAATCCCAGCATTTGGGAGATGAGGCAGGAGGATCGTTGGGAGTTTGAGACCAGACTGGGCTACACTGAGATCCAGGGCAGTCTGAACTACGTAGTGAAACCCTGTCTCAAAAAACAAAACAAAACAAGACAAACAAGCAAAAAAATCCAAATAATCCTAATTTCTTTATTTTTTTCTAGTTATGAAAATGGAATAGTAGTACACAAACTGAATTACATTAAACTATGTAAAATAGAAAATAAATTTCCCATAAGCTTCTGTCTAAATTTAAAAAAAACAATAACAACCAGCCAATCAGTTGTAGTGCACACACACACACACACACACATTGGGGACTGAACTCAGGACCTCATGCTTGCCAGGTGGCGAGTTTCAGCACTTTTAGATTTTTGCTTTCTATATAGTTATATTTACAAACCATTTAATATTTTCCAGGCACCCTTTTAATTTCTATATATCCCTTGAAATCTTAGAACAATTTTATGATGTACATGTGTTACTACTTTTTATTTTTATGGAGTTGTTAAGTGACTTGTTTAGGAGATGCAGCTGAAACTAGAGGAGCTAGGATACAAACCCAGGCAGTCTGGTTCCAACTTCTTCTTTACTTATGTACTATATTGCTTCTCTTCTTGTATATATGGATTTTTTTAAGGAAAAATAAAATTATGCTATGCATAGTGTGTTAATATTAGTTATTTTTATTTAATCATAAAATTGAAAGGAATTCTAAAACTATATTTGCATTCTCTTTATTATAAAGTACACTTATTAAACAGTAGTTTTCTTTCCAAAGAAAACAATTGTACAGGATCAAAGAATTAAAGAATTGATAGAATTAATAAAAAACTATCAGCAATTTTCAGAACCTTAAGTCTTCATATTGAAAACACATTTAAAGTCAGTATAAGAATTTAACTTTGAGGACCAGGGATTTAGCTCAGCGGTTCCACTGCCTGCCTCACAAGGGCAAGGTCCCAAGTTTGATCGGTACCAAAAAAGAAAGAAAGAGAGTTTAACTTTGAAAAAATCTTATGTCTTGGTTCAGAGTATAATAATTTGAAATAACTTACGTAACTAAGACTAATTTACCAGGAATGTGGAATTGCTTATCCTGGCATTAAATTCTGTTTATTCTCATAGAGATCTGAAGTTTTGAGAACTTAGAAGAATTTGACCTCTTTGAAAATAGAATCTGTCAAACTATGTCTTAGTTATTTTTCTTGTTGCTGAGACGAATTACCCAACACCCAAAGTTAAAGGAGGAAAGGTTTATTGCAGCTCACAGTTTGTAGAGGTTTTAGTCCATAGTCACTTACCTCCAAGGCAGGGTGGCATGGGAGGGTAACATCACAGAGGAGAAACATTCTGTGACAAAGCAGGGTAAGCAGAAAGCAGCAAGCTCGCCTCACTTTTATCCGTTCCAGCTACCGGCCTTCTAGACAGTGCCACTCACACCTGGGGTGGGCACTCTTAATCCCAGCATCACACATCCTAGATCCCAAAAAGCCCCACCTATGACCACATGAAGCTTTGGGGCAACATCTAGATACAAGCGATAAGAATATGTAGCCCTCAGAAGTTTAAGCATCAGCTAGTTGAAGGGGAGCGCTGAAGTTCAAAGAAGTTGGATGTACTAACAACGAATCATAATCAGCAGAATTAGTTTTCTTCTTAAAGCTTACTTTTATTATATGCCTTGTTTATATGCTTAATAGCAAGAGATATTTTCTTTAAGAACTTATGTGCCTTGACCTGTAAAGCTTTTAAGGGGTTTTACCTTTTTATAATGACAAATTTAGATAATCTCATATTCTTTTGTTTCAGACCAAGATGATCAACTTGTCCAGTAGTACTATTTCAAAAATAGCCTTTCCTTTCCTAATTATAAATTCCTTCAATTTATTTTTTATGTAGATACTGTAAGATAATAATAACATAGTAGGCTGTAATAGCATGGTAGGCTGAGTAAAAGCTTAATACCTCTGCTTTATATGTCCTTTGGATGTCTTTCTGTGATCAGAAGAGGTGGAGGTCTCTAATACTAACCTGCATTCCCTGAATTTTCTGAACATTATATGGGATGTATTTGGTTTTTTTCATGGTGCTGGGGATTTCACCCAGAGGTTTGCATGTGCTAGGTAAACACTACCGGTGAGCTAACACAGTTGGGCCTTTTGATATTGCAGCGATAAAGGTGGAACATTCCAAATGAGTATCTTACTCTCTGCCTTATCTTTCGTAGCAGTTCTTTCTTTTGGTATTTAACTATGTTATTCAATCTTCCTGGCTTTCCTGAACCTGAAGTGGGAGAAATATCCCTTTCATTGAGGTGTAGGCATAAGGATGAAAAACAAGAAATAATTTGTTTTAGGCAAGAAGCAATTATTGTCTGTTGTTTACCAAGTATTATGGTTTGATTATGGCAAATAAACTGATCAATAAAAATTAATCCTCTTTACAATCCAGTCCACCCCTGGCCTCCAGTGAGAGAAATAGGATAAACCTAGTTATAATGCAGTGTGTAGTGGTAGTCAATAAGTGGAAGAGGAGACTGAATAGGGGTGTAGGAAATACGTTGTGGAGATGAAAATGATCTAAGCTTGTTACAGTTGAGTGAGCCATAATATCATCCAGGTTCTTGTGTGCTACAAGGAAAGAATTGCCATGCATACATCTCATAGTATGTAGTTAAGTAGCTACATTTATTGAAGATCACAGGACAGTAGAAGGAACAGGGAGAGGAGTGAAGGGTAAAAGGGACTCATGTATCGAAGAAGAAAAAAGGGACCTGGTAACTTAGGTTTCAAATATTTATGGGGTCAGAAACCACTGTTCTAAGGTGCCTCCCACTGTCTCACTCACAGATGTCAGCAATCTGCATCACTTCCTAAGTTAAAACCCAGAAAAATTTTTAAGGTGATCCTGAATTTAAGCCCATGTAATTATTAAGATTGTTCTACTTTTAAGCCTGGGTACTCATTGGGATTTACAGTTGATTTACAGCTCCTTTGTTTCTAAGTGTACTAAATTGAGCCTTAAAGAGTAAGTAAAACTTTGCCAGATGAAATTTGGGGAACAGGTAGTCAGGATAAACAGGAAGGCAAACTAGCCTTCTAGTTACAGAGATCAAAGCCAGCTGGGGATGTAGCTCGGTGTAAAACATTTGCCTACTGTGCAACAGTTCCTGGGTTTGATCTCCAGCACCACATTTTAAAAAACGAAGTAAACAAAAACAAAAACAAACAATGCTATGGAAGTGAGAACTCTTTTAGTCATTACATGAAAGTACAATTCATTGTTCAGGAAGAAAGTTTAGAGCAAAGGTGATAAATGAAGCTGTGTGTTTTTAAGAAAAGAATAAGGTAGTGGAAGCATAGGACAACAGAGTTTAAGAGATTTTAGTTAAAAAACAAAACAAGTGTTGAAATTCTAGAGTAGAAACTTGAAGTTTCCAGGAAAAGAAACATTTTTGGTCAGTACTTTCAGTTCTCTTTAGAAAGCACAATTTGAATGTGACTTGAATATGATTTTAGGGATGAGTGTTTTTCAATTGTCCCCATATGTTACTCATTTGCCAGAGCCATCAGTTATTTTAGGGTAAAATTTAAGAAATAATTTAGAAAATGTTTCAATTTGAAAATGTTTCAATTTTAAAGCAAAAATTCATTGGTGTACTATGAAGTTATTTATATAGTTTGCATATTTATTGTAACTATGTGAATGAAGGTTAATTAATTTTGCTTTAGGACATGGCTGGTATATCTTCTTTAATAAACAGTAAATCAACTTGTAATGAAACAGCTGAAATTCCTAAGGGCAGCAGAAACAAAACTAATTTAGAAAGGAAGAGAGTAAATGAAAATGAACTTCAGCAAGATGAACCACCAGCAAAGAAAGGTAATAATATTTCAGCTCTAGTTTGTGGCAGAGATATACTGCTGTTTTCTGAGGAAAACATAATTTATGGGTGAAATGTAGGAGGAGCCTAAGCTTATTGTGTCTTTAAGACCCTTAGGAAGCCATTAGGAAATGAAGCATGGTGGTGCACTCCTGCCTGTAATCCTGCCACTTTGCAAGATTGGGTCTAGAGGGATCTCAAGTTTCAGCCCAGCCTGGGCAACTTTGAGATTTAGTGAGACCTATCCCAAAACAAGAAATAAGAAAGGGCTGGGAATGTAGCTCATTGTGAAGGCCCTAGCTTCAGGAAAAAAAA